ATCGATAGATAGATAGATAGGTAGATCGATCGACAAGTCGATAGACCGATAGATGGGTAGATAGGTAGATAGATCTGTAAACGTGTCGAGAGTATTATACATGCAGCTCACACACAAGCAATCATACACGTATACACGTAAACCCTTCGGATTGGGGCAGAATTCCGAAAGTAGCGCTGACAATACAATGCCCGCAGACCGAAAGTGCACGGCAGCCCTTCCGATGCAACATGATGCAAGCCTTGGACCAAAGCTGCAAAACTCGTAACAAAACTGCCGGAAGTCCTCGACACCCAGAAATCTCAGGAGATGGGTCGCTGGCCCCTCACGCTTCAGGACCACCAAAGCCACGTCAGGGGGCTCCGCGAAGCATCTCGACCTCTTCAAGGATGTTTGGCCCTTGGTGCCTTTTAAGATGAGCCCTTCTGGAGACCGTGAGTGCAACTCGGTACCGTGAGAGCCCTGTGGTCAAACACTGATGTTTTGGCTGAGGGGCCTGAGGGCCACGGCTTGGCTTGTTGAAGGTCCCGAGGCTGCAGGTCGGGTTTGGGGCGTATAGGCTTAGGGTTTAGGGTTCAGGGTTCAGGGTTTAGGGTTTAGGGTTCTGTGTTGATGATCGAACAGGCTTCGGGGCTTCTGCGGCAGAACAGAGGACCACAACCAGGGCTATGGCGATCAACACTTTCTGCAGCACAGCACTGAAAACACAGAGAAGCAGTCAGACGCCTGCAGCTACTATTTACTGATTTCTGCACACACTCGCAACATCTCGGCACGAAGTAATTGCAAGTACGTATCTTGAACTCGTGAAGGGGAGCACGATGCAGCTCAGGAAACTTAATTGACGGGGCCGTAAACTCTGCCAAATGTCGAATGTGTACACCCTGAATACCGCCGGATGCCCTGGCCCCGCATAACCCCCCGCAAGATATTGATTCTGAAGACCATTAGCCCCGAAACGCCGGACACCCTAGATCAAAATCCAAGGTGGGCACAGCGGTGTGGTGCTCAAGGCCGTAAAGATGCTTTGGGCCTCTTTGACACGTGCTGAAGTTGGGCTGTGTGAATTCTGAGGGCATGCCCGGACTGGAGCTGTTGACCTATTGCAACTCAAGACTTGCGGGGGACCATGCATGCAGGCTTTGTGGTGTTTGCCCATGATGGGGTTATGAAACATACACTTTAGTTCAGCAGCTCTGCAGGCTCTTGCTCTGCAAACCTTTTTGTTTTGGGATCACAGACGCAACATGTACGTGTGAGGATCCACGTAAAACGCTCTGGTCGAAGGGATCCCGAAGCGTCTCGGAGCGGCTCAGTCCTACCATCCATGTTGGTTGGCCTTGGTCTCGTCGATCTCGGAATAGCTTGTCTCACCTTCCCGGTCAGGGTTGTTCATGCTCTCTGGCGGCCACCATTCTGTTGAGCTTCGACCAGGGCGTCTCGTTGGACGCTCTACCGCTGTAGTGAATGCACGAAGGATCTTGTGAAAGCTGGGTGTCAAAAGCAGGAGAAGCAGCTGTGGGGCTGTCACCGACTTCAAGTTGGTCCCTGATACCCGTCAGCTTGTTGAACAACAACTCTTCAAAATCAAGCAGCAAGAAAAGGAACCGCGGCGAAGCTTACTACGATACAAGTGAAACCTGCAGCACATGAGCTAGCTCAGACTTCTTGGGCAAATCCTGCCTGATTCTGCACTCCTTAGCACATGTCCTACAGAATAAAGGGCTCACCCGCGATGCTGCAGTCCCGGAAGTGTTGAAGGGCAACAGCCTCAGCGTGCCAAGAGAGCGCAGATTCTATCTGAATGCCAACGAAGCCAGAGTGAGACAGACAAAGTGGGAGTAGTAATAATGACAAGTGGTAGCAGCACCGTTCACGGAACTGATGTACGCAAGCTGCATTTTTGCACGGCTGTTCCGGCGTGTACACTGGAAAGGCAAAGCTGCCTCCAAAAAATGCCCTTCGACAGCTTTCCAGCCTCTCTGGTTTGAAGGTCTTTCCCAGAATCAGCCTCTTGCTAGCCACAAACAACTACAAAGCCTAACGCGACAGCAGATGCGACTACACTTTCAGGAGCTCGCAGTGCAATGTCTCCGTCCGCGCAGGTGATCACGCATTCGCAACCTTGGCAAGACTCGACTTGGCTCAGGACTGAGACTTGTTCGCTTCAGGGTGTGGTTACGTGGAGGGCCAGACCACATGATGCCATACGCGTCCAGGGCGATGTGTAAGAAAGGGAAGGAAGGAAACAAGATGATGTGGGTCACCATGCTCTGGGTCACCATGCTCGACCGAAAGCAGGCTGGCTGGGTGAGAGCCCGCTCGTTGCATGCCCATCTCGCACAATCCTTGCAGACCCTGACTCTGAGACCGCACTTGCAGCCCTAGGATGTAACCTTGTAAAGTTCTTTGAGATGATACACACGCATACAACAGATGCATAGAGCTGCACACTGCACGTGTATATATATATATATATATATATATGCACTGCTCCCACAAGGGCCCTGCGGCGTGGCGAACGCCGCACCGCACACCACACAGCGACGCAGGCCATCCCGTAAAGGAGCTGAAGGGGCCTTGCTGCTGGAAACCGTCTATTGCCAGGTTCAGGCTTGGCAGGATGAGCCCTGATCAAGAACATGCACTCCAAAGTTGACAGGAAGGCCTCGTGAGAGTAAGGACTGGGATTGCGGATTCTGGCCCAAATCCCAAGTATTGTAAAGTCGGGCTGTCCGGCCAAGTCAGGCGAGTCCAGTCCAGGCTTCGGGTGCTTGAGTTTGCTGTGGCCTTCACGAACTTCATGCTAAAAGCTTTAAACATTCCATTTCCCGCGCTGGCTTTTTTTCGACGCACCGGGCCCCGAACCTGGGTTGAGCCTCCCCTGCCGAAAACCTCCCTGCCTCAGGCTAGCTTTGTCGACTCCCCTAGCGCTAGCGGCGAGATCATGTTTATGCCATTGATTGTGCCATGCTAGCCACAGGCCACAATCTCGTCTCGAACAACACCGAGAAGTTCATCATCCCACAGCTGTGAATCATCTAGTCGGGCAAGAGCGCGGTCATTCTGCAGAGTTCGGCTGGAAACCCTCGACCATGAGCTCGAATCCGTCCAGTGCACTCAGGACGCCAAGGAGGCCTCTGTTACCCACAGTAGCAACTACACTGAAACCCGCCGTGAACTGTTCGCTATCGCTGTTTTCGGGCGGAGGTGATGGTGGAAAGGAACTGGAAGCAACTGAGGGAGGGGCAACCTTCTGTAGAGCCCGAACGGCGCTCCTGGGCAGTCGTTCGAGGCGTGGGACAACGATGCCCATACGTGCGTGACTTTTGGAAGTTCTCGGACAACCGACGATCACGACTTGACGTGCAGGCTTATCCGCCTCAGAGATCCACGCGGGGCCTCAGTCCTAATGATTCAACATCCTCCGTACGGAGGTGGTGACGCTTGAATGTACGTGAATATTTGGAGAGGGTGTAGGTAGCTCAGCACGCTAAGATCGGCCTTGTGCCATATACTACCTCCCAAACTCCACATTCCATCATGAATCGAGTTTCTCCAGAGCCGTGGCTGGCACACCGGCCTCAGGCAGCCTCAGAAAGGCTGAGTTCAGGCGCTCAAGAACCCCCAAAGAAGTCTCTGCCAAGTTTGGCATGCGAGAGTTGACATGCTCTCCAGCGCACGAGCATTAGCATGACAATGGAGAAGGGGATGAGGATGATGCCTCTCAAGGGCGAGGATGATGATGGTAATGGTGGTGGTGGTGATGATGCCGATGGCCATACGACAGCGGTGGCGGCAATGGGTTGCCACGAGAAACATCTTCAGTAGAAGAAACAGCAAAGATCCCACAAAATATGGAAGAAGGCACATGCTCCCGTACAAGAGGATTTTGATCTGGGCATCTTGTTGGGAATGATGTTGTCCGCGGGCTGTGACAGGACTCAGTACTGAGTGGTAACAGCCACCGCGGTTTGTGGGGCTGGTGGTGCAGATGATGGGAGCGATGGCAGTAGCAGTCGTCGTCGTTGCGCTGGTGGATTGAGTTTCAAGCTGCAAAAGACAGCGTGGAGAACGGAAGTAAAGCGATGACAGAGGGAGAGAGTGAGAGCGACAGCGACAGAGAGAAAGAAAACAAAAAAGGCAACAAAAAGCAAAGCAAGAGAAGGAGTGAGTGAGAGAGGCACACCGAGGGTAAACGGACAACCTTCCGATGGCGAACTCCGAGACCAAGTAAATCCCGCTCGTACTTCGACAGTCACATATCGGGGAGAGCTCTCGAAGTTGAGGCCAAGTCGCTCGGGCACCTGCAAGCTGCGGCGCAAGGCCTCCACCATGGGCTCCAACCTCAGACATAGGCAGACAAACGCCGCATACGAACCTTTACATGCACTCCATGAGCTACCGAAGCTCGACCCCTTCGTTGTCAGGGGCGTTTATGCCACAGTATCAGGGCCGATACTGCAGAAGATTAAGCCCTATGTAGATTGAAAGCTGCCCGAAGATACCTCCGGACGGTTAACTTGTCTGCCCTACAAGCACGAGCGCGCGAGCGAGCTTTTCTGCAACTCGGGCCGCACGGCACAGCGACTTGCAGGCGGTTTCACTTGAGCGCGCTCAGAAATCTTTGCTTACACCGCCCAAATCCCGCTCTATCCTGAGATTCTGCATCTCGGACTCAAGCGACAGCCTGCCCCCAAGGAGACCAAAGCTCACCGGACCCAAAGGAGACCTAGAGCTCACCGGAGTGTCTCGGTATGAGCCCGTTTCTTTCGTCTGCGGCTTGCTTTCCTCGGGTTGGCAGCCGAGGACAGTGGTGAACCAGTAGACTGCCAGTAACAGCGGTATAGAAAGCACTGACATAAACATGTTGCACGAAGTTCTCCGGAGTGACATGACAATGATTAGCAGATTAAACGAACAGTCTGTAGCACGAGTATCAAGAGTTGCAATGACACACATGACACAACAGTATAACGGCAAGAAAATATAGCTGCGCAAGCAAATCACGATATAGCAGAATTAGGCATTATGGTAAGGTAGCGGTCAAAACTAAACAGGCAGCGGTTAAAACTAAACAGGCGACTTTGGTACAATGAAGTAGCTGTTACACTGATGAAACTACACTGCAGCATAGAGAAGCACATTGCATGGGGTCGCATGTAGCAGTGTGACCGGTTCCAGCCGGGTGTTGTGGCTGAGGATGACTTGACTGGGATTTTGGATCATACGCGGGTGAAGATTAGGATCCAAGATCAAGGGCTTGGAGCGGTCGTTCAAGCCTTGGCTAGTCACAGCGACAGTTTGGGGTCTTTCCACGGCATCAAAGTCTCTTTGCAAATACTCGTCCTTGGGTATGGTCTGCGTGACTGTCCAGCGGCCTCGCACGACTCTCTTCTACAATCTACAATCATAGTCTAGATGTCTGTCCGTGCGTGCAGTCTACTGCAAGGCTCTCTGAGAACCCTTGATGACTCCCCCGATGTGCCTGGGATCAGTCTGCCCTTGCACTTCATCTCGTGTCCCGCGGGCGCATGTGGATGGCAGAGGACGTCCCGCTCCCAGTCCATCTCATGATCTACATTCCTTCGAGCGGCTGTCTTCCGGGGTCCAGGTTACATCGCTGCGGTTGCGGAGAGGAGGAAAACATGCCGAAAGCATTGCCTCTCGAGCTTGCAGCTTTTGGAGACATTGGGGCATCCTGACTCCTAGTAGGTACAAGATGCCAAGTCTAGAACCCGGCAAGAACAGTATGCTTCAACGTCGCAACTTCGGCCTCCACTGGTTCGATCCGATGCAGAGAGAGGGAGGGAGAGAGGCAAAGAGAAAGAACGAAAGGAAAAACACGTGCGAACCCTGACATCCTGACTGCTGCTGAGTCTCTCTAAATACCATTTCAAATCCTTGCAGCCCAGTTCTTCTTTCAGCTTGTTGTAGTTCGCCTTGACAGGCTCCATGTCGGTCAGCTTCATGCTAACCTGGGCCGGCGACATCAGGGAAGCTTAACAAATCACTGGCTTTAGTGCCTCGGGTGAAAACGTAGCTACCCTCAGCCTTCTCCCAATAGCCTGAATTCCGTGCTACAGGCCAGCAGCTGCTTCAGGCTTCATCTTGTAAAAGTAGTCCAGGTGGTCCTGTTCCAGGGGCTCTGGGACCCAAGAGTAGCCCATGCATCAGAAGCATAACTGGCCGGTTAGTACTACAAAGCCGTCGGTCTGCAGCGCATCTTTCAGTCGCTTGCCACCCAGTGCTTACCGCTTACCGCTTGTTCCGCTGCCTGAGCCCACAACTCCGCTAGGCGCTTGTAGTTGTAGACCACCGTGTTGACGTCAACGTCGTAGGGTCTCAGGGCTCAGAGGTTTCGGGCTGCAGCGCAAGGACGAGCGAAACGCTCGACAGATAACAAGTGACTTAGACCTGAGCACCCAAGACGCCCGTATAGGCTTCGAGACTTTGACTAGCGGAGCCTGTGGCTAGGATCCCGGAAGAGGTGTCCCACTCCTGAGAAAGCTGCAGTGCAGGCGTCAACACTTCTCTGAAATGCTTCAATGTAATGTTATATTATCTATAAAGTGCCATGTGTCCATCCTCGTCGTGTCTATCTAAATTCAATTGTACCATTCGGCCTGCGTGGTGTCAAAATACGATCTGCAAGCTTGGGTGCTTTTTCTCTACCACCCCTCCCTCCCAGAACCACGACGTTTTCTGGAGGACATACGAAACCCAACCGGAAAAACGATAACGGAAACGTGCAGCATGATCCATGGATGGCTGGAGAAGTGGATGGGTGGATGGATGGAGGGATGGTTGGACGGCTGGATGATTGGATAGAAAGATTCTTTGACGCATGGATACCTGGATGGACAATTGTGAAGATGGATGGATGGATGGATGGATGGATGGATGGATGGATGGATGGATGGATGAATGGATAAATGAAGGGATGATTGTATAGATGGCTTGCTGGCTGGCTGGTTGGAACTACTACTACTACTACTACTACTACTACTACTACGACTATTACTGCTACTGTCTACTACTCCTAGCACTACTACCACCACTACTACCACTACCACTACCACTCCCAATACCACTACCACTACCACTCCCACTACCACTACGACCACGACTACGACTACGACTACTACGACTGCTGCTGCTGCTGCTACTGCTGCTACTGCTGCTGCTACTACTAATACTAATACTACTACTGCTACTACTACTACTACTACTACTACTACTACTACTACTACCACTAAAGCTACTACTACATACTACTTGCTACTTGCTACTTACTACTTACTACTTATTACTTTCTACTTGCTACTGACTACTTACTACTTACTACTTACACCTTGCTACTTGCTACTTGCTATTTGCTACTTACTACTTACTTCTTACTTCTTACTAGTTACTAGTTACTAGTTACTAGGTACTAGTTACTAGTTACTGCTTACTACTACTACTACTACTACGACGACGACGACGACGGCGACGACTATTAGGACTACAACGACTACTATTACCAACTACTCCTACTACCACCATCACTCATGACCCCAACAATTGCTCTCACAGAGTGTAGGTTCGACGAAGCAGGTACGCACAGCGGTTCAATTCTATGCGAAAATCCGCAAGGAAATACGAAGAAATGCCTGCGCACGCTAGGATGGTAAGTGCAAAGATGACGTTGCAGGGCGGGTCTCGCGAGCAAGGAACGATCTCAATGCGGCCGCCACAGCGCCACACCTCCACATATTGGCCAGGTTGAGTGCAGCGATGCGATTTGAGTATTTAGGGGGCAAAGTTGAGGGCTGTAAAAGCGGAGCTTGGGGTTCAGGACGGAGTCGACGTCCGGCTCTGATAGTCATTGCATCTCCTTCGGTGTGATGGTTTGAATTATCATGATAGCGACGATGAGGCTGTCGGCGCAGTGGGTCGAAGTTGAAGTGGCATGGTGGTGCGCGATGATTGTGTTTGCGCAGCTACTTGCAGCACAAGCCGTGTTTCAACGAGAGTTTCAGGGGCTCGGCACAGCTCTCGAGCCTTCATCGTCAACTCCATGTGGTCGCCTGCCAGCGACACAAGGAGGGAGCAATCCCAAGCCCAGCAAAGCTCAATGCTGGCCTGGGCTCCCATTTCAGACCGGACTGCTACATTCTATGATTATGTTCTCGGCCATGGCTATAAATAACTGGAGCTAGCGTGCTTTCGTCACAGGTTTCGCCTCCCCACTCGCGCATGCCGGCATCGAAGAGCCCAAGCTGCTGAAACCAGTCTTTGCGCATGGCGAAGATTCCCCCCGATGTGCCTTGGGGTTGTCTTAGGTCGATCGACGCTGAAGGGCCGACTAGTCAGGCTTGTAGGGCTTGGGCTTAGGAGGTTGCAGGGCCCGAGGCTGTGACTCTGGTCACACCTACCTTGAAATCAACTTTCAGGGCCCTGCCCGTCTTCTCGAGATGAAAAAGCAAACCCAGTGCAGATTCGGTGCCCGGGCTATCGTAGGGATCGGGCTTGTCATTTCGAATGACATTGCCGGGATTCCTTGGCTCATACGGCAAACTGCGACTTGCTGTGCTGATGAGGTGAAGGTTGCGAAGGTTGGGAGCTCGGCAGGCAGAACATTGAATCCAGTTGACGACCTGCCGGTGAAGATGCTGCAATAAGCATGCAGCATACCTTTCTTGCTGCAGACCACATGTTCTTGAACGAAGGAACTTGGTGCTTCTCGACGATCGAGAATTGACAACCACACAAAGGCAAGGGGGAAGACGAGGCAACAACTGTACGCTATTTGTTGTAGTGGTTGCGGTGGTAACAAAAACCGAAACGGCGAAGAAGGGTGATCTGATCTGACCTGACAACTGCATCTGCTCCCGACTCTGGATTCTGCAGTGCGTCGTGTAGACGAGGTTGAAGTTCCACTCGTAGCGCCAGTGGCCCGGTGGCATCGGGTGGTACCTGAGTTTCGGGTCGTGGGCTGGTTGCTGATGCTCATAAGGTGATCACAAATCATCATACTCGACCTGGGAGGGAGTTCGCTACAGTAAAGCTCATAGAGACAGCAACAGTCTCTCCAACTGGAGCTCGCAACCCTGACAGGACATTGGTTCTCAGCTTATCCTTGGAATATCGGCGAGCGGTGCCCATTCAACCCTACGAGTACTGCATTCTTGGAGTCTTCCAGTGCTCTCTAGACTCGAAGATTAGAGCACAGCTGCAGGTGCCAATTCTCCTGAGGAATTTGATCCAAGGTTGGCATGGCGAGCGCCTCAAACGGGAATCTCAGGGGGCACTTCCGGTGAATTATTCTGCAATGCCACAGGCATATATTGACACAGCCTCTTGCGAGGTCTCACGGGGAAATCTGTGCATCCCCAACATGTCGAAGCGGAACCGCTTACTGGAAACAGCCGAAGCACTCGTGTGTCATGCGATGATTCAAACATGGCGCAGGTGTTGCGCTAAACATGAAATAAGCATCCAGCTCGAGGCTCCAAGGCTCTGGTTTAGGGCGTGTGCGGTTTAGAGTTTTGCTTTAGCGGCTAAGCGTCTAGGGATGGATTGCAGGCCTAAGGGTCTAAGGCTAAGGATCAACTAGACCTACCCAGACCGTTTAGCACGGTCGCGTTTGGCACACATGGCAGTTTTCCGACAGGGCAGTCCCGTAAAGCAAACGAGTCTAGAGGCTAAGCCCGCTCCAAACCTTAACCTGAGTAGCGATTGTTACAGGCGACGCGAAGCGATAGACCAGCACGGATGCGAAACATCACCTGCTGTTACAGGACATTGCAAATTGTTCAACCCTCTCAAGTCGGTTTGGGTGGTTTACATGAGTAGAGTATAGCAAAGTCAGAGATATTCTGACTTACGGTCTTCTTACTCGTCTTCGCCCCTGCATCACTGCCAGAGTCCCTACCCCCAAGCCTTGGGATTCACGACCACTCGATGCAAGATGTGCTGAAGCCAGTGCTTGTTCGGAATGACGTGAGCCTGACGGAAGGCTGAGGGCCGCGAGCATATAAAGGTTTGCCCCCCAAACCCATCCGGGATTTTCGATCTGCAGCTTGAACTCTACGGGGTTCAGACTCCAGACCGAATCAGGCCGAATCGAAGGCTTGGACTGCCTCCAAGAAGACGATGACGGGCGCTGTGGCCATCTCTACCCCTTTCATCTTTGCCAGCATGAGGCCTTGCCTGGTCGAGCTGCGTAAGACGCAAGAGTGAGAGACGGGGGAGAGAGCGACAGAGAGAGAGAGAGACAAACAACGAGACCAAGACCAAGTAGAGAGAGAGAGAGGGAGACTGGGAGGATGGAAGGACACTTCACTTTCGATGAGATGCGATGTATCTTGAGCTGTACTGCGGCTCCGGGAGGCTTGGCTTAGCGGCTACCGCAGGCTGTGGCTCCTCGTTGAGACTTAGGTAAAGAGCTATGCTCGGCTCAAAGCTCCGACAAGACAAAACTGATCCCTCTGAACTCCCAGCATTTCTCAGTTTGACAGTAACCTCAAAGATACAGAGCCGTCGTTGAGAGGTCCCCCACACGGAGCAGACGCCAACCCTCGTGGCTAGCGCCGAAGCTTAAAACCATGCGCCGGGATGCCCCAAAACCTCAACCCCTAAACCCACAGACCCTCCAGCAAACCGATTGATCCGCCTCTCCGGGAAGGCGAAGACTTTGACCTTGCTTGACAAGGCCTTGAGCTCCTTCTCTTTCCTCGGCAGTCGCAGAGCACCGAGGCTTTGGGCCAAGAAGGCTAGGGCTAGGAGCTAGGATGCCTTTTTCAGTACAGGCTTCGTGGCTTCGGTGTTCGTGCATGCGCACGGGGTCAATCTCTGCTAGTCCAAGGTGCTAAGTTGGAAAATCGACACAGCCGAACTAAATCGACCCCAGACCCTGGACCCTTAGAGCTCGAGAACCCAAGCATCGGGTCGGCATTGCCATCGGAGATCCAGATGTACTCATCGACCAGCTCGTCGGGGGTGAAATGTAGGATGGCTTTCCTTTATTCGCTATTCGTTTTTTGGGACTTCTGCAAAGCTTCCTTTCCAGCGACCTTCTAGACATTTGAAAGCTCACGGGCTTGACCATGAGGCGGGTTTCCGCATGAACGACACTAGACGGAGTAAAGCTGTTTGGGCACCGCAACGAACTCCATGTACCACTTCTCCGTGCTAGCTGCTAGCCTTAAGCCCCAAGCCTTAGCTTCCATGGGCCTGTAAGCAGGGCCGTGGAGGTTCCGGCTTTAGAGGAGGATCTCCTGTGCACCCAACCCTGAGCAAACTCACGAACGATGCGGGGATTCGCTGTTTGGGACTCTTGCAAACAGGGTATCCCTACTTTGTGAAAAACTCCCCTTGAGAGTTCGTTGGATCGAGGCTTCCGAGGGATCCCGTAAGGCGACAATGAAGCTTAGAGCTATGTAGGGTTTGAGCTGCACCTCGGAACCCCACAACCCTCAAGCCCAAACGAGCCCCATCGAAAAACAAACCTCAAACCCAGACCATCTAAACGCTAAACTTCCTCTGCCCACCCAACACGGCAAACACTTACAGTGCCCAGTCACATGGTGCCCTCCATATGCTCCCACTTCTCCGCCAGCCACGGAATGATTATGGACACGGTGTGATTCGCAAAGTCCTTCCTTCCAGGGTTCGGGACTTGCAGGCCTTTGACTCAAGCGTGTGCACTGAAGGAACACTACATGCCTATGAAAAGGGAGACAGGTTCTGAATGTTTGGGGGGCTTCGGCTGCGAGGAACTTCACAACACACAGACAGGAACATCGTCAGGTTCTGCACGGAACCAACCAACAAAGTCCACCTGCCGGTGTTTTTATAAGGGAAACAGCATGTTTCGCCGCACGGCGCTTGCAACGAGGAAGTGTCTTTAGGCACTGTACGTGCTACCAACTGGGAAGAAACATTAAAATACACAACTGCACGACTGTCGAGGTGCTCATCCTATGTCCATAAAAGCTGGCGATATGGGTCCAGATGTTGTTGGGTCTTTTTTTGGATTTGCGCTAGGTATTTTTGGCTTTCGGTTCGATCCATATGCAAAACTTGCAAGAATCACAGGGATGGCGACAACTGAGGCTGTACTTGAGGTCATTTTTGTTGATTTGTTGTTGGTTTTTGGTCTAATTACTGGTCTTCGGCAATCGATCGGTCACTCAGTCTGTAAATCCGACTGGCCGACCGCCGGTCTTGCCAGTCTACCCGGTTGCCTTGTGTGCCAGTTCAGGCTCTGGGCGTCTCGGCGTTGTGGTTTTAAGTTCTTGATGGCACGATGGTCTTTAAAGCAAGCTTGCGCGGTCCAAAAAGAAAGTGGATGAGTTGGGCCTTTAGGACGGGCTTTGTAAGGCCTCATACGAGATATTATGTGCTTGACAGGAAATCGCAAATGGCGAACCGGAACCGCCACATGAGGGCGCGTGTCTAAGAAGTTATGGTGAGCCGGACTCGCCAAGTGAGGGGTGTGCTTAACATGTATGATGAAATGATGAACCGGAATCGCCAAACAAAGGGGCATGTTCAATATATAGGATAAACCAGAATCGCCAAATGAGGCGGGGGAGTGTTTAACTGTATGAGGAGCCGGAATCGCCAAAAGAGAGAGTAGTGTGTAAGATTGAAAAAGGTATGGTGAACCGGAATCGCCAAATGAGGGGGTATGTGATGAACCGTTATCGCCAAATGAGGGGGCGTGTTCAAGGTTTGTGATGAACCGGCGTGTTTAAGATATGTACTGAACGGGACTCAAGCCCCCAAACCAAGCACGAGCTTTCGCTTCCCGAACCCCTCCACACAGTAGCAGCGGGACTTAGCTGAGGTTCCCCATTCTTCTCTATCAACGTCCCGAGGCATCCGCCCCAAGAAGCTCAAGCACAGAGTGCCCCAAGTCGAACGCATACTGCGAAAACCTAGGAACGCCGGAGCACGCCTCTTGTACTTCCGACAGCCAACAGGTCTCGTGTCCGGCGGGTAGGGAAACCCCCGAGACATGTCTGCCGTCTCGGAGACCACCAGAGACAATGCACACAAATAGGCGAAGAACATGACCTGAGCTGGTCGGACCGTGACAGCAGAATTCCGCCAGTTCGTTCATGGAGATTGCGCCCTGGCCCTGCCCGCTGCACCCAGCATCCGAACTTCAACACACAAAGCCACCCCATCTGCTGGACGAGGCAAAGTGCTGTCCCGCGTTTCTCATCCCTTCAGAACTCTCTGATTAGGGCTTACGGTTTAGGGTTTATCAACCCCCCCTTGCAGCTGGGACACTTCTTTGGCCTGGTCTGCCGAAGGCGCTCAAGAGCTGGCCCAGCTACTACGGAGGCTGAACTATTGGTAATGGTTTCCTTTTCGAGCAGCTCGACGATTCAACAACCCCAAAACCGCGGTCCAAGTATGAAAGCTCCTTATATCACAAGGCAATAGGATGTAAATGTACTTTAAATCTACATGCCATGGCGTCTTTGATCCCAGCTGCTCCCGGAAAAGTCGCAAACTCGGAATCGGGGCTTTCAGATGTTACGGGTTCGGCTCGTGCATGATGCGGGAGGACACCCGATACCCGCATGCCCTAAACCCCTAGAACATCCTGATGAGCACCAAAATTCCCGAACCGCCTTCTGGCTATTAAGCCTGTCAAAGCCAGATGGCCACACCCAGATTCTTTACAAGCTTTGGCGAAGCCCCAATGACCCTGAACGTGTTTGACCATGAACCCTGACCGCAACCTGGGTCATGTTTTGGAGCTTGAGGTTTGAGGGTGGTTACAAAGCTTCGGGATTTCTGGCTGAGAGATGGCTAAGGGTGGTTTAGGGTAGGCGGATGTTAGCTGGGATGGACCGTGAATGCTTGTCACTGCTTCAGTAGATGGCTAATCCTCCACACAAAGCCATAGCAATCGCCATAGTGGTGTCCAGTATCGAGCCGTGGTCTCCTATGGTATTTTGGCTCTGCAGGCGTCTTCAGCCATAAGAAGGCGAATGTTGTTTGCCTGCCTTCTTTTTGTCGTAGCACTAGTCGTACTATCATTGTAGCCAGCATTCCCCAGTCTAAGGCAACAGCTCTCGAAGTACATCCTGTCGGAAGTTTCGGAATTTGTTTGCCTCAAGGGTTGAGAGCAACCCGAAGAGTAAGTCCCTACTGTCCCAACTGGTTGCAATGTTCTGCACATAAGACTGCAGACTGAAGGGTTCATGAGTTAACATGGACATATTGTGTCTTTTTCGATTTGTGAAACACCAGACCACGCAATCCTCTGCACTTGACCAATGAAGTATAGAGCCCAGGCCCCAAGCTTGCCGGTTCCAGACCCCAACGCTGGATGGGTGCATGTTCCAAATCAAGCTCCTTGCTCCTCGTTGTGGGACTGTCTGCACATACATCTGCCCCAGGCGGTCTACCATCACCAAAGCAACAGCACAGCAAAAAATCTCGCCACATCTCTGCTCAGGAAGTCCTTCCAGGTGCCTGGTGACAAAGACCACGCCTCCTGGATACACGGCCAGGACGTTGTTATTCGTGTATAAAGTAGATGTAGTGGCAGTGGCAGTAGCACTGACACTGGTAGCGAAGTGGTGGCGGCGGTAGTGGTGGTGGTGGTGGTGGTGGTGGTGGTGGTGGTGGTGGTGGTGGTTGCCGCTGCCGCTGCCGCTGCCGCCGCCGCTGCCGCCGCCGCTGCCGCCGCTGCCGCTGCTGC